GTGCCACTGGGGCGCCGCAGAAAAATAAAAGATGTAAAAATTAGTTTTTCTTTTTTTTTTTTTACACCGTGGTATTCTTGTTTTACAGGTCAATTAACTTACTGAAAGTCTCTTTTTTTTCAAGTTAGATATGAGAAAATATAAAAATAAAGTTGATTTTTCATTGATGTACAACAAAGTCGTGTGTTTCAGTGTTTGTCAATTTTAATTAATTACTTTTCCCACACCAGTCTCACATATTATTTTGACAAGACATCTCTAAATCCCCCCCCCCCGGTGGCTCAGCGGTAAGATTGAGGGTTTATAACGCTAAACATCGGGGCTCAATACCTGCAGTGGGCACAACACGGATAGCTCACTCATTGTGTAGCTTTGCTTTTAAAAACAAACAAACATCACTAAATATTCACAAATGGTACATTTTCCAGGATCTCCATTAAAACTAAATTCAACGATGTTTTATGTACAACGGTGACTTATAAAGCATTGTTTTCAGAAGACATAATAGGCCCCGAGCGATGGTGAGTAGTTGCCTTCTCTCTGGTTAGCAGTTTTAAATTAGGGATGACTATGCGTGAGCCTCAGGGGTCTCTGACCTGGCCGTTTAATCTATATTTTACATGAAGTGCTATTCAGGCTAAAATTCTATGAATTAGATGAAGGGACTCTCGATCTGCACATTTTTATGGTTTGGTTGTTGTTAAGCACAAAGTTACACAAAGCTATGCCCACCAGGGGTATCCAAACCCAATTTTTAGGGTCGTAAGCCTGCAGACTTACCGCTGAGCCACCGGAGTACACAAGTGCTTTTGTTTGATTCTGTAGCGAACCTGAAAACGTATCATGTCTCTTGCATTTTAATGTCTTAATATTGCAAACACTTTTCTATTACTTAGTAGGCCCGGCATGGCCAGGTGGTTAAGGCACTCAACTCGTAATCTGTCACACCAAATATGCTCGCCCGTTCAGCCGTGGGGGCGTTATAATGTGACGGTCAATCCCACTATTCGTTGGTAAAAGAGTAGCCCAAGAGTTGGCGGTGGGTGTTGATGACTAGCTGCCTTCCCTCTAGTCTTACACTGCTAAATTAGGAACGGCTAGCGCAGACAGTCCTCTTGTAGCTTTATGCGTAACATTATAATGCCTCTACGGCTGAAAGGAGATTCGGACCCGTGACTCTCAGATTGCGAGTCGAGTGCCCTAACCACCTGGCCATGTCAGGCCAAAAATAATTAGTATGTGTGTGTTTTCTTATAGCAAAGTCTCATCGGGTTATCTTCTGTGTACACCGAGGAGAATCGAACCCCTGATTTTAACATTGTAAATCCGAAGACTTACCGCTGTCCGACCGGGGGACAAAGAGAATACGTTAAATATAGAAAGAAAAAGCTTTTAGATGATTAGCTTAATAATGAGGTTATTGTATTTTCAACTATTTGTTCTTCAGAAGTAAAAACCCAAAAATTAAGGAATCGAGCCCTTTATAGTGGTAGTATTATATTACTACAAAAGCAAATACAGGGAATTAGTGAAAAATGTTGTTGGCAGATTTATTTCTCAACAAAAAGAAGACAAAAGTATTTATCTATAAGGTGGAGTAACCTGTGTAGTTTTGAAGAAAAAAACTGATTCAGGTCAATGTGCTAAAATACATCAGCACAAGTTAAATAATACTAAGTAGTATCATAGAATAACAATAGATGGCACTACAAAGCACTGCATTAGTCGTCATGACTGGAAGGATATTGTAACCGTTATTCTTATTTTTACATTTATTTCGTTAACGAAACTCTCGAGTATTAACACTAAAATTCCACATTTCCTTAGATTTTTGCTTATAGAAAAAATTATCTTAAACTAAAAACATGTATCGTTTCCCAATGAGTAGTTAAAGAAATAATTAGAATCTTTGCGTAAGCCTAATTTCATTTGTCAGAAGCCAATTGCAGCTTATTAAGATAAAATTGAATTAGTTTTGTGCCAGTATAGAAAAATGCTTAGTCATTTAATCTGACTCGATAGGATAGTCTTAAATACGGCTTTTTTAGATTGATATATGGATAGATAGAAGCTCTCTTTATGAAAAACAAAAACCTAGCATTAACCAGTATTCGGATGTAAAATTATATTTATTTTAACTTTATACCCTATTTAACACTTGTATTTGATTTGTTTTTACATTGTTGCCTAGCGATGCAGTATCGCTCTTGATACTACCTTTAACAGCTAAACATAACTGTTAAATGTAGTATCAAGAGCGATACTGCATCGCTAGGCAATAATGTAAAAAGGAACTCAAACATAACTGTTAAAGGTAGTATCAAGAGCGATGCTGCATCGCTAGGCAACAATGTAAAAAGGAACTCAAACATGAGTTCCTTTTTACATTGTTGCCTAGCGATGCAGCATCGCTCTTGATACTACATAACGTAACGGTTATGTTTCATCATTCAATTGTATCCACCTGACGATACTAACAAAGTAAACCTAGAGAACCCTAGTGTTTTTTGAAAACTAAAAATACCTGAAAAACATATTACTTGTTTTATCCGCAAACAAAACTTTAATTTTCATGTTACAGATTCTTCCTTTATTCTAATTAAAGGCAGCATAGAGTTTTTATGAAGGTTTGGTTGTTTTTAAGCACAAATTTACACAATGGGCTATCTGCGCTCTGCCCCTCACGAATATTGAAACCCGAACTTTAGCGTCGTAAACCTGCAGACTTACCGCTGAGCCACTGGGAGGGGCATTTTATGAAGGACTAAGATTAGAGGAAGATTAAGGTAGTGTATCTAACGTCCAAAAATAAAATATTGCCAAACCTGAAAACAAATCACGCAATATGGTGTAGAAATCGTACATTATATCAGAAAAATCTCCCACAAATTAAACTTTCAGTTGAAAATGGGCGAATCAGTACGTATTAGTAAAATGAAGCGTCAATTTAAAGAAGTTATCGGCCTGGATGGACAAGTGAAATCTTTAAGATTGACCAAGTGGTTAGGGAGCTCGACTCGCAATCTACTGGTCGCGGGTTCGAATCCCCGTCACACCAAACATGCTCGCCCTTTCAGCCGTGCGGGCGTTATAATGTGACGGTCAATCCCACTATTCGTTAGTAAAAGAGTAGCCCGAGAGTTGGCGGTGGGTGGTGATGACTAGCTGCCTTCCCTCTAGTCTTACACTGCTAAATTGGAGACGGCTAGCGCAGATAGCCCTCGTGTAGCTTTGCGCGAAATTCAAAACAAACAATACTTTAAGATTCACATAAGATTAGAGAGAAACCCCTAGCGTACAAACTACAAGACTATCGTTCAGAAATTTTAAGAAAAGAGTTTACGAAACTGAGCGACAACGAGTAATAAAATTCCCAAAGACGTTTACGTCGGGATGACAAGGAGAAAGAGATAAAAGCAAACAGTTTGTTTATAATTAAGTACAAAGCTACACAGTGGGCTATCTGTGCTCTGTCCTAGTGACACTTTGGAACTAACTAACTATGATGTTATGTCACTAATTTCAAAAGTATTTTATTGTTGGTTTTTCAACTAATTTCTGTGTCATGGCATTTAGAACAAACTCTTTCTTAAGTAAATGTGATGAAATACAAGGCTTTTTAACCAAAGCAAGCTTTTCTTTATGATATTATGTACTTTTAGTTAGTTTGTTATGTGGAATTGATCTCAATAATTCAAAACTATAGTTCTGATCAATAGAGTTACCTTGTCTCTGGTCAGAAGTTATCGATAATAAGGTGACCTCTCCTGTACTGGGTCTGGTCTTATGTTTAACGAGTAAGGCTGTACATCAGGGGATTTAAGGTTTATGCCGCGATAGATTGCTTTTCATATTTCGCACATTCAGCTTTTTGAACTGTATAATTGTGACTGCAAACTCCGGTATTCGGTTAACAGAACATGTCTAGGTGACACATGCTACTGACTGGCTTCCCTATATTTGGTCAGCAGTTCAAAAACACGAATGACTTTGTTGGGCCTTTAGATTCCCGACTTGTTGATTCAAGTCTATCGGTGGGTTAACGGTAATTTCACAGACTTACAATACTGAAATCCAAATCTCGATTCCTCACGGTGGACAGAGCGCAGATAGCCTATTATACAGCTTTGAGCTAAAACAGTCATTTTGGCTCATGTGTCGCATAAGGTGCTGTTCGAATCGAAAATACCAAATACTGCATTCTCTCATAATTATGTTTTTCCTCATATATTGTGTCCCCCAGTGGCATAGCGGTATGTCTGCGGATTTACAACGCTAGAAACCAGGTTTCGATACTCCTGGTGGGCAGAGCACAGATAGCCCTTTTGTAGTTTTGTGCATAATTAAAAACAAAAAAAAACCTTATATATTATAATGTCATCACAAAAACACTTTCAATCATACAACATTACAAAGTCTCTAATATTTAACAATTCATTTTGAAAACATAAAATACACCTAAATATTCAGAGTTTAATTTTGACAATCAGTTATGCTATTGTGAACTGTAATGATGGCACAAAATGGCTCTGTCAAATGCTTTAGAATATGTATAATATTGAAACTTGCAACCGCAAGTCGGCCTGAAGACTATGCGAGAACGAGTGTTTGTCTCGCAATGTTATATGTGGCAGGCTATATTATAAGCATAATGTAAATATACGTATTTTTTAAAGTTTAATTTAGTACGTCAGTGTTATTTTCTATTTACTTTAGACACGTGGCCTACTATTCATTATCATAGCTTATGTAATTCAATCATATGTCACAATTTTGTTAATAATTATCAGTAGCATTAACTATGGCGGAGGTAAGAATTGTCTTTTTTCACTTTTTGTTCACCCTATATTTTATTTTTAATTAAAATTCACTGACTTTCAGTCTATTGACTTAGTGTTGGTTATGAAAAATATTTTTACCTATATTGACTTAGTTATGTTAAGTTTCAAAAGTTTTCCTGTAAAATATCGTAAGGGAAATGCTTTCAGTTTCATAATCAGAATTTTCGCCTATCCGTCGCAGCACAGGTCTGGCAGATGTCGATTAATAAAACTTTTACTATATCAAATTAAGTTTAGAGGTCTTAGGTTGGTTTTAAATCCAAACATTAATCGGCAATGAAAATAACCTTCATAAGTATAATTATAATTTTAAAAATACTTATAAAAAATTAACATTATAATTGTTAAGATTGATTGAAATAATTACAATATAAAGAAAGATTTAACTGGCTGTTGTTTACAAAGGTCATAAAAAACACCAATTAAAGTGTTGTTTTGAAACATGTGGTGTAATATTTTTATGTATTTGCTAACTAGTGGATGTCATAAAAATTAATAAGCAGCAACACACTAGTGACTGATTTAGTCTTACATGTAGATCAGTATTTTGATCTTATAAATATTCATGATTGAACTGAACAATTTTTAACTCGTAAAGATTGATTAAAATATAGAATATAGTTGGGTTGATATGCCAAGTTTCATATGCAATTTTGTGATATGTAATGACTAGGTTTGTAATGTTTTCTAACAGTATTTGTGTTTTGTTTTTAGGTTTTTGAAAATATAAGTATATTATGGGAAGGATGATATTTCATGTTAGTCCATAAACCCCTATATTTTGCTGTTCACTCAGAAACAAAATTGTTTGATTGATGATTTAACTCTGCTTTATACTTCTTATCAAATTAAGATTCTAGTTAACTAATTTAGGATGTAAAGCTGTAGAAAGATATTAGTTACTCAGGTAGTTTCATATGCATAGAAAATTATAAGTACATAAAATAGGTGTAGATACAGTGCATGGAAATTAAAATGTAAAGTAGGTTATAAAAATTCATTTTTTGTAGAAAAAAATGCGATTAATAAAACTGTCCAGTGATGACTGTATCCTCTTTGGCCAAGACATTAGTCCAGATGGAAGTTTCTTCTTTAGAACACACTTGGATGCATTCAAAAGGATGTGGCAGGAACAGGTGCAGTATATCAGTTGTCTATTATAGAAACAAATATTTAAATATATTTCTAAGAACTGTTGACAATATTAGGTATATATTTTGAGAGAATCAAGTTTGGTTAGCAAAGAGGAAAGCACTATTAATGAATAAAAGACATTCAGTGAAAAAATAACTTAATTTTTAGTTTCTTTTTATTATATTCTTTTACACACAACTTTAAACTATGATTGTTAAAGGAATTATAAATGAAAGTTTACATATCAGTCATTCTATCAAGGAAGGCCACTCTTCTTAATTAACTCGATAATGATTCCCTATTATTTACAGTACAGTTGAAAGTTTAGAAAAACCACAAATAAATATGAAAAATTTGTCTGCGTTTGAATTATATTTAATGAGTAAGTATACATTAATGCATAAAACAACTTGTTGTCGTGGCCAACTTCAGCATCAAAGAAGCCTCATAATACTTATCAAAATTTGAAACTTCTCATCAAATGACCACTTCTTTTTGTAATGTTAATATTTTGGGGTATAGTAAGGAGTGTAGAATTAATACTTGTTGACACCCGGGGCAACAAGATTTATTTGTGGGACAGCTTTTACTGTTGTACTTTGCCTGTTTAACAAGTAGTTTTTTTGTTTTTCTTCACACCAGAAATACACTCTAAGTAGTATATTTCTGTAGTCATGCAAGTCTCTTAAAATTATGAATTGTGTAATTCTAACACATACACATGAACATTTGAAAATGTGTACATCTAAACCTCAAACCAAAACTATACAAATATACATATTCATTTAAAGAGAATATCATACTTCACACAGAACATCTGCAAGAAAATTGAAAAAAAAATCTAATTGGTTGATAAACAATCGAAGCATTGAGACAGTGCTACGTTGCTAATAGTAAAGCTAATAGAATTTTAGGATGTATTTATAGAAATGTTAAATACAAGTCAATAGAGATAGTTAACTAATTATACTGTATACCTCACCTGGAATACATTGTTCAGAATATTGACTTTTTGGAAAGAATTCGGATGAGAGATTGTACAATGATTCTGGTATTGAAAAGGTTATCTTATAGGTTACAAGAGGTGGTCTAATTGAAGATTACAAGATTATGTGGAGAATTGATAGGATTAAGGCCACTGATTTCTTTGTTATATTCTAATGACGATAGGATGAGAAAACATAAACTTAACATCTGAAAATACAAACTAGGATCCAATTAAGATCCAGTTTTTCTAAGAGTGTGATTGTCTTATAGATTGAATTATTGTAAGCAATGGTGAAGGCCAGCACTTTGCAGGAGTTTAAAAATGAAATCAATAATTTTCTGAAGAAAAAAAAAGTGGATTTTTTAAATCTTTACGTTTTCTGAAGGGTGGGTGTCCAGAGACAACTTTAAAGGACAAAATTATGTTAAACTTTTGATGTTTTTGATATGGCGGAACTAATTATTTTTAGCATGTACTTTTTAATCTCGTACGATTGTGCATGTAGTTTGATTTTAGTTCTTTAAATTCAAAATACATATTGTGTTCTGTTGATACAGATATAGGTAACTATTTGTTTTTGTGTGTGTGTGTTTTCAAGATGTGATTAATTTCAGAAGATGTTATGTGTTTAATTTCAGGGATCAACCTTCTGGTTAAGATTTCTAATAACTTACCAAGATTTCACATGGAGATATGGATATACAAATACTGCATTGAATGATGTAAGTATCATTTTCTTTTTACTGTTTTAAGTCAGAAATTGAAAAAAAAAATACTTTGTCATCTCCTTCAGGTCTTTCAGACATTTGAAAATATAGGTTGTCTAATAATATTTTGAAATGCTCTACTGTAGTAGGCCTGATTAAAAAATAAAACAAAAAATGAGCTTCAACTGTGTTTTCATTAATTACACTAGTTGAGGGTATCCATTAAGGAAACAAAAATTGTATAAAAGAAGGGGAACACTATCTAATGTTGTCCTTTATACAAATCTAATGAGGTTATTAGAGAAATAAAGAAGGACAACTAAAAGAAAAATAATCCCAGTAGGTGTTGGGAAAGACTAGTAGTTAATTGGATTCTATGGTAGTTGGATGGAAGAAAGCAAAGGGTTGTTATTAATAGAGCCTAGTCAAAGTGGACCCTTGTTACTAGTGGTGTGCCACAGGGGTCAGTTCTTGAGCTTTTTCTTATTTACATTAATGATATTCATAGAGGCATAGTTAGTAAAGTTTGCTAATGACATTAAAATTAATGGTAGAACTAACAAAACTGAATACAGTCTGACATCATAGCTGGTCACTGTCTCTTCCTAGTTTCATTTGAATCTGTACAGTACTTCCTCTTTTATGTACGTGTTGTAAGATTCTTAACGTGTTTCCCTATTTATAGGATATGTTTATTTTTTTTTTTACTTCTTTAACACTTGAAGTGTATGCAACACTTGTATTTTATGGTAATTTTTCAAGTTGTGAACTGCATATGTCATATAGTTATATCTAATGCTGCCTGATGATGATGTCATTTTTTCTGTTACTCAAGCATCTTTCTAATAAAAATTGTTTCTGATAAAGTCGAGTACATGTAAGTTGGCAGTCATGAACAGATTGTCATGCAAGACTTTTTCTCTTCCAGGGTGTGTAATAACAAGTATTTAGAAACAAGATAAATTACATTTACTATTAGATGTAATTATATATTATCATAAATACTCCTGATTCTTGGTATAACCTTCAGACCTGATAAGTGGGATCTCATCTGTATATTACAGTTAAACTATGAAAGGTAATAAACTTTAAGTTCAAATGAAAGTAGTTCCTCAGTATTAAGAATAGAAAATAGTTCCTCAGTATTAAGAATAGAAAGTAGTTCCACAGTATTAAGAATAGAAAGTAGTTCCTCAGTATTAAGAATAAATCTGTGACTTGTAAGTAAATTATTGTACACTGTTATAGATATATATAACCTATGAAAATGATTTTTATATTGAAACAATTTTAATGCATTGAATGAAAATTTACTGTCTGGTAGAATTTAGAAAAAAAGAATGTACCATACTGGTTCCTGAGCTTAAGAAATGCTGTGCATGGCTATGTTTAAGCTCTGTTGCTTATATTTAATCACATAAACCCAATCTATCTTTAAGCCTAATGTATAATATTGTTACGTCTCCGTTTGTTAATTGATTTTCTGTAACTTCGTTCCGACGAAACTTTAGCGACACAAGTCCTTACTTAATAAAACTGGTTTATTCTTTCTGAATACAACTTTACGATACATTTATTTTCAACAATCGCTCTATAACGAACGTCAACAATACTTGTGACTGCAGTTCAATTACTCACTATCTACTCACACGCATTACATT